CAGAAAGTCTAACCATGCTCAGCTCAGGGTGCAGGCACTTGCAACCAAGAGGTGATTTTGTCGCATTGAGCAAAATAGCGTGGATATCTCGACTGCATCAAGCCCTCCTTTGTTGCAAATTCTCGTGGGCAACCACCAGTAGCTATATCTCGAAAACTTCATAAGTACTACTGGCAAGCTGCTTCTACAAAACGAACTTTGATCAACGTGATTAGCGAGGCCTGCTGCAGGCGTCTCCTAAGACGTCAATCTAGCCAAGGCCAGCCCTAGAGTTCTTTACAACGTGCGCCACCGGCTGTAGGATACCCTTGTTGTTGCTAGCCCCCAAGGGTGTGCCAATGCTCCAACCCATCTTTTCAAGCATAGCCCTCCCTCGGTTTCCTGCGCCAATTTCTGGTGCCGAAGCACCAACAACTTCCCCATCCATGTACGTTGCCGATGCGTCGGGGCGGCCACGTCGAGCTTTGGCTGGTTTTGTCGCCTTGTGGTCCCAAGATTTGGAGCCTCGTTGGACGTACTTGCCATTCGACAGTATTCGTTCCAATTGAGGGATGGTTTGCTGGGTAAAGCCTGGAGTCCGTGACGTCTTGTTCATGATTGGAAATCGATTTGTTCCTTTACCCCGTGACTGCGAAGTGAGACACAACATGTTTGCCAGTTCATGCACTAGCTTTCGTTGTTGCTTCGCCATTGGAGGGAGAACCAAGCTGTTGGTGCCATATTGCGTTAGTCTAAATACTAGAGCATACAATGAAGGTGTCGGAAGGTACCTATGCTTTGTTGACAGCAGAAAAAGTCGTATTTCCATCTTCAGTTCGGTGCTGTCCATTCCTTTCGCATACTTCACCCTGAGATCTGGCTCGGCATTTCGTCGACCAAGCAACCCTTCAGAGCGAAGTTGCTCTCTTTGCTGCTTTCTCGATTTTTTCTTAGCGCGGTCGGTTTCCCATGCACTCAAGAGTTCCGCCTCCAGGTCACTGTCGGGCAAGTAAGCATTGAATCCACGACCAGTCCGTTTGGGCTTTTGCTTCAGACTAGGTCGGTTGAAGTCCATGATATCAAACCCGTAGTAAGGATCAAGATCTAGCGCGTCAGCAAACGCATTCGCCGATGCAAACATGCTTTCCTCTTCGTCGTGTTCTTGTTGAACATCTGAAGGGGGATCTCTAGTCTCCCATTCGTTTCCATGAGCAGAATCAATATCAGAGGACGAGTCCAGCAGCACTGTGCTGTTCAATCCACCCCCCTCCGCGTGCTCGGGATCATTGTCGATCAGTTGACTGCTTTCCGTGTATCCATCCGTACCTGGGGCAATCAACAGGCCCTGTGTTGTCAGTCTCACCTCCGAATCGTTGCCTAGTACAGTTAGCATGAGAACATATATTGCAAGAATATTTCCACATACATCCTGCACGGTCGACGCACTCCTTTGAGGAACCCCGGCGAGCGGCTTCAATACGAGATGATGTTGCTCTATCGGCACGTCCCCTGCTGCTGTTGAAACGTGGTGAATGACCTATCTTCACCATGGTATACGCTTCAGAACCTCTATCCTGGCTGCGTCCGCCCTGCAGGATAGAATATTCATCATCCATGTTTGCGATATAATCAGCTAGGACAGCGTCTTCGTCTGTCGTTGAATGCCTCCGAATCGTCTTCTCCTTCTTCTGTGTCCTTTTGACCTTGAGACTGATATAATCTGGACATTCACCCGGTCCCTGTCCAACCGAGGACTCTTCTGCTGGAGCTATGTCGGGTCTGAACGGTGGGACACTTTCGGGGCATATATCAGGAAGGAGTGTGCGCCTTGTGTCGTCGGCGGGGCTGGGTATGTCTGCACACTTGGCGACGGATATCGACACTGATCCTCTATGAGTGTGCTCGGCGACCTGGTTTCGGCGCCCCGAGAAAACCACCTCGTCCTCGCTGGAGTCATCTGTATTCGGAGACAATGATGTGGCTATGTCCGATGTGGCTCTAGGAGTGAGATCTTCCTCAGGCAGTTCGAAGTGGCATTGGTCATGGTCAACTGCAAATGATGGGCTTGAAATCGTGACAGCATCAGATGACTCTACATTTGACAGATCCTGGGGTTTGTAAAGAGGTTCTGGGGGCCGTGGACTTTTTTCTTGATCTAAATCTGATGGCGTATTTCCTGCGCTGACGAATTGTATCACGTGGTGGCGAAGAGAGGTGTCTACCCTTCGTGAGCTGCGGCCCTCTGTGTTGCGTGCTTCTTGTTGCAGTGTAAGATGGTTTTTGCCTGTGGCTTCTGTGGCGTCAGCATGAACATGTGAGTATTCATGGTAAACGGGTGCCAGTACCTTGAAGGCTGGATACTGTTCCTTTATGCTTCTTAACCCTCGGCTTCACCTTGGACCGTGGCATCCTGGAGCCGCCCTTTTGTGTGCGTAAGTGCTTGCGGCAGTAAGGGATGTACCTGAAGGATGTAAGCGATGTGTAAGAATTGCAGTAGTTACTTTCAAAACCTACCCGAGGGGGCGGCTCTGGGTTTTCCACTTCCTCGGGCGGGCGGTGAGTGAATGTCTGCGGGGGGGATCCGATGTCCACACTCCACCTGGGTGGGTATCTACTACTATCTACACATTAGATCACTGAAGCTGCCAGTCCAGGCATGTCTGCACTGCCTGCTTCAGATAGGTATGTGCCCTTAGTAGGTATTTCCACGACACATATTTAGTCCTTCAGATACTTTGTCTCTGAAGTATAGGATATTTCTTTGTGAGGCACTATCATAGTCGTCCGGCCTCATGTGTTTATATATTCTTCTACCGTTGTATAAACTTAACCAGCATTACGCCCCAAACGAGGGACTTGGAAAATACGGTGAAGTAAAGAACAAAAGAACGCCCCATCAAAGATCCTGTTAGGGCAACCAGTAACATAAAGTATAAATGCCATGCCCATCCTGTAACCCCACCTAACGAGAGCCTTTTCAGCCAAATGGTGCAGCACCGGTGCTCATATGGCCCATTCCGCATGACCCAAGCGGGCCGGCGATGTCTTGGACCCACACCCGCCGGACACTGACGTAGCAACCGAACCGGCGACAACCTTCCATCCTCTTGAGTGACCAGAACTGAGCACCGTGCGAACTCAAAGAGACACAGCAACCATGAATGCCGCGGATATCGGCCGCTGCAGCAAACGCATCGTGCAGTATATCTGGGATCCCGAGCCCAGGAACGACAGAGAACCACACGAACCTATCTGGTGTTTGGGGGTAAAGTACCTTCCTGCCGAGGGGCCAGAAGCCTCGCAGACTAAGACCCGTAAGCCCACCCGCAACCACATGGTCCCGAATAAACAAAACAAGATAGAAGAGACACAAAGGAAGAATGCCCCAGCGAGTTGAACAGATCAACTAATACCTGCATATCACCTAGCCGATGATGGCCAAGAGGAGTGTGACGGAGGCAATGAGGTTGCATCAGCGGTCTCAAAGACACAAGGCACATCAGAGCATTCTTGGCCAGAGACCTTCATCTCAGACTTTGAGTCAAGGATCTGGATGACTTATCGATCGAACTTCACACCAATACCCAGAACCGATGGCCACGACGCCAATGCATCCATGACACTAAGCGTCCGACTACGAAGTCAGTTGTTGGATACGCAAGGTTTTACATCAGATACCGGATGGGGCTGTATGATAAGATCAGGCCAAAGCCTACTGATCAATGCGATGGCCTTTCTGCTACTGGGGCGGGGTGAGAAACATGGTCTCAGACCATTAAAGACGGCCACTTTACCTTGCTAACATCTTGATAGACTGGCGTCGCGGACAGAGACAGAATGATGAAGCTAGCTTGCTATCACTCTTTGCAGACACTCCCAGTGCCCCCTTCTCGATCCACCGTTTTGTACAGCATGGTGCACAGTCATGTGGCAAATTCCCAGGAGAGTGGTTTGGGCCATCCGCAACCGCCAGATGTATTGAGTATGTAAACCCCACACATTAAGGTATCGACTGGAATTGAAGATCAAGCTAGGGCGCTCTCCACTTCGTGGCAAGAACCAGCACTCAACGTATATGTCACAAATGATACAGGGGAGGTTTATCGAGACAGATTCCTGGAAATCGCACGTAGCGGGACAGGCGTGATTCAACCAACGCTCATACTTGTCGGAATAAGACTGGGCATCGATCGCGTGACACCGGCATACTGGAATGGCCTTAAGGCCGCGTTACAACTCCCCCAGTCGGTCGGAATAGCAGGGTATGCCCCCGAGTAGCTATCATCAAACCAAACTGACGCGACGAACACATTAGGGGACGTCCTTCGGCCTCGCATTATTTTGTAGGCCACCAGGGTTCGCATTTATTCTATCTCGACCCCCACTTCACACGCTCAGCGCTTCCAGACCGTGACACAGGGCAGTCATACTCGAAAGATGAGATCGACACTTACCACACGCGACGACTGCGGAGGATTCACATGCGGGATATGGACCCAAGTATGCTTATAGGGTTTCTCATCCGAAATGAAGAAGACTGGCAGGACTGGGAGAGTCGGTTGAAATCGGTAGAAGGCAGAGCGATCATCCATATCATCAATGAGATGGATACATCAAACATGGGGCGAGATGCTCTGGACGAAGTTGAGGTATTGGACGATACAGAATAGACACCCGGAACGAATGCGTGGCTCTTAGTCCAGAAAGACTTTCCTGACAATGCATGTCGATCCGGTAGAGCTGCGTGGATGGAAAGAATGGATATGGAAAGCAATTCAGAAATCGAATTCTGCTAGGGAAGGCAAAATTGCGCGACCAACCCCAGATCCGTGTTATGTTACACCGCATTCATGTCACGAAAACCATAAAAAACATCTGGCCCAAGGGGAAAAAATAAAGCCATCCCATGACACATTAGAAAAATCCCGCGAACACCCTGTAACCCACCACCTCAGAACCGTTGCTGATGACGAGGTAGCATAAAAACAATCCCGCAGAAACAAACAAACAAAACAAGAAGCTTATTTGGCAGAAGAAGAGTACTTTGTGACAGCCTTAGTGCCCTCGGACACCGCGTGCTTTGCCAATTCGCCAGGGAGGATGAGCCTCACACTACTTTTCGTCAGCCGGCGCCCCATGTTTTATTGAATTAGTGACTTACGAGGTCTGGATCTCCCGCGACGAGATAGTGGATTTCTTGTTGTAAGCAGCGAGCTTCGAAGCCTCGGTAGCAACTCGCTCGAAGATGTCTAAAGAAAGTCAGCATCCGTGATCAGATCATTATACGGCCAGGGCCTAGACATACCGTTGACGAAAGAGTTCAGGATGGACATGGCACGAGTGGAGATACCAGTGTCGGGGTGGACTTGCTTCAAGACTAGAACGAGAATTAGCTTTGTGCATGGAAACACGTAAACCGGCCGTACCCTTGTAAATGTAGGAGGAATAGGTCTCCTTCCTGGTCTTTCCACGCTTCTTCTTGTCACCGGTGCTGGCAGAGGCAGTCTTCTTGCCGGCTTCCTTCTTCTCGGCGGGGGCCTTTCCAGCTGGGGCCTTGCCACCGGTGCTGGGCTTCTTCTCGGCAGCTTTAGGAGGCATCTTGAATTTTGTGTTTAAAACGTAAAGGGTGGAGGTGAAGGCGGATTGCGTTGAGTTGTAGCGTGGAGAAGAACGGAGAGCAGGATGATGAGGAAAACTGAAATGAGGGAGACGCGGTGACGAGAGAGGCGCGCTACTTATACCAGCTCGCAAATGCCTAGTTGATCCTGAGGTCCGCGAAAGAAGCAGAATTTCAATACCGTATCAAATACGTATGATCTGTATGATTAAAGGGTGGGGAACGCGTCACCTACCGCCACAGAACGCCGCAGATCACGCTAGCATGACTGTATTGAAACGCATCCCCATCATTACAGAGCTATACCCCATAAGGTAGCCCCTACCCGGAATCATGCCAATTCCATCTCCGCCAAGCCATGCGCGCCAGGTGATATGATCTCTTCTTTGATTGGTTAGCCCCGCTAAGCGAGAGGGTGATCTGAAAGGCTCCCCATTAGCCTAACGTCACCCTTGTCGCGTTGTTATATATGTCCTCCGCTCCCTCGCGTTCGCCGTCAACCCTTAACCCCATAAACTAACCTTTTCGCCGTGTCGACGTCCTGACCCTATCGTATACCTTCTTCTCACGACCCTCACAAACAAAAACAACAATCATCAAAATGACCGGAGGAAAGTCTGGAGGCAAGGCCAGCGGCAGCAAGAACGCCCAATCGTGAGAGCCACCATCCACCACCCGCAACAACTGAAGCTAACCCAATCATGTCTTCTAGCCGCTCGTCCAAGGCCGGTCTTGCATTCCCTGTTGGTCGTGTTCACCGTCTTCTCCGCAAGGGCAACTACGCTCAGCGTGTCGGTGCTGGTAAGCTCCTGGAATCGTCCCATTCACCTCTATTTCCCTAACACGATAGCAGGTGCCCCTGTTTACCTTGCCGCCGTTCTTGAATATCTCGCCGCCGAAATTCTTGAATTGGCAGGCAACGCTGCCCGTGACAACAAGAAGACCCGTATTATTCCCCGCCATCTCCAGCTTGCCATCAGAAACGATGAGGAGTTGAACAAGCTTCTGGGCCACGTCACCATTGCTCAGGGTGGTGTCCTTCCCAACATTCACCAGAGTATGTTTCAAGTTCTCGATCTAAGTTGACTGACATAGTGCTAACACGATTTAGACCTTTTGCCCAAGAAGACCCCTAAGAGTGGCAAGGGCTCGGGTAGCCAGGAGCTGTGAACAATTTTTCTTTGGTTTGGGTTTTCTGATTCGGCGTGGATTGGTTCTCTTATTGATGTGATAACGGGGTTCTGGTCTGGGCACGTTAATGGCTCTGCGTTGTTTTCTTCCTTTTAGCTTTTAGTTTCATGGTTGTACATTATGTCCACGGACATGGAATGATACCGAGAATTATGGATACAATTTTTCAATATGCTGCATTCTAGACGTCGGCGTGTTGACTCTTGTTGTCACGACAGCGAGTGATACTTATTGCTTTTCAATATCTATGGTTTACTGCCTTGACAAGCCTTCCTGCAAGTGTGCTATTCAAATTGTATTTTTGTAACAGATAAGCTAAAGTACTTTGAAGACGGCGATCAGTGGCCCGCAGGCTGGGCAGCGACTGATGGGTGTCAGTACGACGTGCCGGACAACATGTAAGAGTCTGTTATCAAGGACAAAACGCATGAACTTACGAGGCAACTGGGGGGCAGGAAGGTTTCTCTCCCATTTACTGCCTTATAGAAAGTTAGCACCTGATCCTTGCGGCAAGCTTGGACTAGCAATCAAATACCTCCTGGAGCAGTAGGCGCGCGATAGGGGTCCGGGTGCTTCCATGTCTCAAGTAGTTTCTCGGTTTCCTGTAACAGCACCTGTTGAATCGCTATTAGACTAAGTCTGGTACCACTGTACATTGCAGCTCCAATTCAAGGATACCTTCTGTTGCCGAGGATCGCGAACGTCTTTATTTGCGTCGAACAGTGAGCGAATGTAGACTGCCTGTCCTCGCCAAACCTGACGGTGAACAGCCCAATCCAGGGCAAGTTTGAGGGACCGTCGATAAAGGGAACTGTGATTCAGAGTCAGAGTGTCTCTAGAAGGAGTTCAGTCGACTGACTTACGCAGCGGCGCTAAGAGGCATTGTGTCTGGGGAAGTCAGTGTTGAAGAAAGGAATGACGGTAATGTGCCCTCGGCTTCGAGTTCAACCTCATTTGACAATTAGGCCTGCGGCGGTCCTTGGCGGGCGCTGAAAAGTGCCAAGTTGGCAGTTCTAGGCAGCCGAAATAGCGTAATAATTATACTCCGTTCATTTGCCGGTCGCAGGGAAAATGAGCTGCTCTTGAGGGAAATCCCGGTTGTCTCGGCCCGGGCTCAAGCTCACGTACCCCGACATAAGTTTCGTCACTCCCTCTTAACTTACTTCCAATAATTGAACCTGCATTCCAAGTTGGATCACAACTCCACTGTCTTCGCTTCGCCTACTTCCCAGAGATTATACAGCGGCTTAGGATTGTATCTTGTCTTTCTCGGACGTTGCTGTTGATAATCATCATTGTTCTTTTTTGTTTCTTTACCTAGGTCATCATGGCTTCTCGACTCCCCTTTCACCGTCTGGCCCGGAGCACCCAGGCTTTCCGCACTGTTTCTTTCGGTCGCCCCAGAAACTTCGCCTCGAATGCGCTTCAAAGAAATGCTAAAGTGGCCTGTCGGCTGAACCCGGCTCTGCAACGGTTTACGGGTTTGGGGTAAGTCCTTCGCGATTAAACGGCTTGGGTAGCAACAGACGGCTTAGAAAGGCTCAGAAGCTTCACCAACCCTACTGCTACTCCCTTCGGAGCCCACCAAGTTAGAACCTATGGTACATCAAGCACCCCATATATTTGCCGGCTGCACTAACTTGACGACCCATAGCGGACACTGTTGTCAAGGTCCCACAGATGGCCGAGTCTATCACCGAAGGCACCCTGAAGCAGTTTTCGAAACGTGAGGCTCTATAGGCGTCCACATTGCTAAAATTCACTGACGGTATCATCAGAGGTCGGAGATTACGTTGAACGAGATGAGGAGATTGCGACAATTGAAACTGACAAGGTACGAACGCTTAATGACCATGAAACGTGGACTTTGAGATACTCCACGCCCAGCAGCCACTTACCCGTTCTAGATTGACGTCTCCGTCAATGCCCCAGAGTCTGGCACGATCAAGGAGTTCCTGGTGAGCGAGGAGGACACCGTTACGGTTGGTCAGGACCTTGTTAGACTGGAGCTCGGAGGTGCCCCGGAAGCGAAGAAAGAAGAGGAGGCATCTCAACAGTCTGCAGAACCAGCTAGTCCCAAGCAACCCACGGCTTCGGAGCCAGAGCAAGCAAAGACGTCTGAGGCACCAAAAGCGCCCACTCCCGAGAAGCCCGCCGCCAAGGCAAATGAACCCGAGAAATCGCAGCCCGCGGCACCTAAGTCGCAGGCCCCCGAGGACAGCAAACCCAGCATTGGGGGCCGTGAAGAGCGGAGGGTTCGTTGCTATCATAATCTTTGTCTCATGGCCTAGTTTGAATTCGCTAACACGACATGCCACGTTCAGGTGAAGATGAACAGAATGAGATTGAGAATCGCCGAGCGCTTGAAGCAGTCTCAGAACACGGCAGCCTCCCTCACCACTTTTAACGAGGTGGACATGTCGTCACTCATGGAGTTCAGGAAGCTCTACAAGGACGATGTGCTGAAGAAGACCGGTGTCAAGCTGGGATTCATGAGCGCTTTCTCTCGTGCATGCGTTCTAGCTATGAAAGATGTCCCTGCAGTCAATGCATCCATTGAAGGGCCGAATGGCGGTGACACCATTGTCTATCGAGACTATGTCGATATCAGTGTAGCCGTCGCCACTGAAAAGGGTCTTGTGACACCGGTGGTCCGTAACGCGGAGACCATGGACCTTGTCGGCATTGAGAAGTCCATTGCAGACCTCGGCAAGAAGGTCAGTCGCACAAGCTCATTGGAACTCGCAACTTAATCTAAGTTCTTATTCCAGGCCCGTGACAACAAGTTGACGATCGAGGACATGGCCGGAGGTTCTTTCACCATCAGCAATGTAAGTTGTGTTTTGCCCATACTTGACATCGAACTCCATTGACAATGCTAACTTCACAGGGCGGTGTTTTCGGCTCTCTCATGGGCACGCCGATCATTAATCTTCCACAGACGGGTAGGCCCCACGCCTTAGGCTAGTACATAGTAGACAACTGACTAACTTGGTCAAGCCGTTCTTGGACTTCATGCCATCAAGGACAAGCCTGTTGCCGTCAACGGTAAAGTCGAAATTCGCCCTGTAAGTCCTCCCTGCATCCTTACCGTCCTCTTAGCTTATGCTGAAGTTTGAACCAGATGATGTATCTTGCTCTGACTTACGATCACCGCCTTTTGGATGGCCGGGAGGCTGTCACTTTCCTTGTCAAGGTCAGGCACCGAACCTGAAGCATGCTAACACAGAAACTAACCTTATCACTTACTCCAGGTCAAGGAATACATTGAAGACCCCCGTCGCATGCTTCTGGGCTAAGCTGTTTGCCACGACTTGTTTACCGATCGGCAGCGGAGGCCCAGGGACCATTACCATCTCCGCGCGTTCCTGATATCCTGGCGTGTAGAATATTGTTTTGCATGGGTCCGTTTTAGAAATCATTTATCGACATTGGTTACTGTTCAATCCATGTAGAGAGGCCCACCATTGCAGCTAGTCTTGTGATTTGTCTCCCCGATGTCCGACTATAAACTGTACAGATGACCGAATTATGGGCTTTCATAGTCCTACTCTTTCTTTAAGCCGCCTGGTCTCTTCACGGGTGAGTCCACCGAGTTTCCCTCTCTCTAACTGCAGCAGTATGGGTGGATCTAGCGATTGCATTAAGTTGGTCAGGTAATCAACCACAGCACGTGCAAGCTGAGTTGCGGGTAGTTCGTTCGATATATCCCTTAGGTGAACCTCTAGCGACAAACCGCTAGGTGGCTGGAAGTATTTCAGATACCCTTGTCGTCCTTTCGCTGGCGATTGTTCTTCTATGGCCTCGTGCACGCGGTGAATACACTCGTCGTAGTCCGAGGTTGATTGAATGCCGGCCGCCGCGAGCTCCTCTTGTGCGGCCGCCATAATCAGGTGAGCTGAAATGGCATCCTTCAGCTCTGGCCAGCTCTCCCCTGGTCCTTCGCCTTCGCAGAGCGCGAGAAAGTTGGCCAGTAGGAACAAAGCAGTTACCACCGGAGCACTGTTCTGTAGTAAAGCATACCGGTGACAAAATATCACGGCAAAATTCAACAGTCGGTCTTTGGTACTTATGTCATCCGAAAGACTACTTGGGTCTAACAACACTGCTCTGGTTGCTAGTTTGGCAATTGGAAACAGTCAGTGCTTTGATGATGGAGACAATAGCTCAGCCATACATACTTTCAATTGTTCTCAGGTACCACTCGATATTATGGTCTTCTCGCTTCTGCCCTTCCGCCTTCGCTCTTCCGTGGCATAGGAGTTGGTCAATTGTTGTGCAGAGAAGATAATCGAACATGAGGATATCGACCTCTGCTTGAACGGTGGAGTCTGCTTCACTTTCCATGATTACATGTCAAGAGCAATTGACTAGTACGGTACGTGTCCGTTGGTCGCATGTCCACTATGGGGATTTTTGCCAGTCACATACATGACTATCATGACCAAATGTGTCAAGGCTAGCGATAAACCAGGGTACAGGTGAGCCCTTACTGACAGTCGTGAAGTGATTCAGAAAGCAGCTCAGCCAACCCTCGTTATTTCAGTGCTGTGGCACGAAAACCACTCACCGCCCATACACATCAGGTGACTTTTCACCTACTTTTTAAAGCCAAGTCACCTTTTCACTGTAAAGTATGGAGTACGGAGTACTCTTTCCCTTTCCCTTAGGCAATGGGGTTTTGTACAGTTGGGGTGCGGGAGTCTGTGCAAAGGGCGGCATAACAGCCAAATATGGCAGGCGGTAAGGCTGTAAACTGTACAAAACCTCATTGCCTACACTGGAAGGGACTAACTAATAACTTACCAACTACTCGTCGCTGCGGCGCTCCTTCACCTGCGGTGGAGGGTCGCCTTTACCTTACAAGTAATTCTACCTCAAAAATACCAAAAAAACATATACTAGTCCTACTTTTTGATTATATATAACTTTATTAACTTAAGAGATGTGGCATTTTCGTGCTTACCGAAGTTCTGCCGTGTGTTCGGTTGCCGCCCCCCACACCGCCTACGGCTATTCTTCGGTTCCACCGACTTCCGTACTTTCTACACAATCAATCATATCAATCTTCGTCTTATCCATGTTTATCGGAACTGCCATAAGAGATTAGATTTTAAGATTAAAATATTATATCTTTTATATCTAGAATTATATATCTATCTTTTTCATTTTTGAAAATATTGTATATTAAAGAAAGAGCTAAAAAGATACCTAAAATTTTAGATATTTTTAGTTTTCTCATTATTACAAAAGATATATTTAGAAAGCATCTGTTTTCTTAAAGATTAATTTCTTACATATTATTACTTCTATCTTTTTTTAAAATTAGTAAAGCCTAATCTTTTAAATTAATAAAGTTATATATAATTAAAAAAATAGGATTAGTATATATTTTTCGTTATTGTAGCGTATATCGGCTATCTCGATATTCTGCTGTTCGTTTAACACCGCCTTAGTCACCGGCCTCGCCGATTCTTCGGACTTTCTTCTCCTCTTCCTAAATCAATCAACTTATTCATGAAATTCGTCTATTCCATAACAGTTATTCTTAAGGTGGAATTATTAATGAGGTAGAGGCGACCAACCCCTGATAAGGGTGGGCTAACGATAGCAATGAGTACTTAAATTTACATTTAGCCTTGGCATTGAGGTTCATATAGTTGTTGATATCTATGTTGGGAGTCCTCAGGGTTACTTTACATTTAATATTATCCGTGGAATAGTATTACTATTCTTTGATGGTAGGGTTCTTTAATCGGGGTTCTAATGTATTCAAGAAGTTTTATTCTGCTACCTGGTCTAGTTAACTTAATAACTTAATGAGTTAGTTAACTAACTAGTTAGCAGTCCAGCTTAGGTCAGCAGATAGTCAATTCACAGCCCTCTATGGAGTATTTGGAGTCCTCGATGGCGTCGGTGCTTTATGGGACAGATATTAGTACTAAGTGGCCTGGCCAGTAAATATGTATGTATTCACTCTTGCCTGGCTGATGTTTTATTGTACGGCGCATCAATATCTAAGCTTAAAGGTTATCCCATTTTGGCAACATGCGGGGGAGATTATTGCTTGATTTATATATATCCACCTCCTCTGCTTGCCCCTCTGAACTCCCAGTATATATAGTACTGTACACCGTAATAACAAGGTCCCATAAGCACCACGCGCAATTGGGGATGAAGCGAGAATCCACACCATACTACCAAGACATCCAGCCTATCACAGAAGGTCCAAGCATATCAGAAGCTCGGCTACCCAAGTAAGTTACTACATGTGCTGCAGTTTCCCGCTCTAACGAGTCCCGCTATAGTGAAAATACTTTACTTAGTTTTTCTGCCCCTATACAAATTTCGTTACTTTCTGTCGGCGTTTCTGGGTAATCTGGCCACGTGATCCGAAGGCCTTTGCTGTACCTCTTGTTCACACGCGGAGAACCTAGCTGGTAACAACAACTAAGAACCATCAAGAATCATACGAAAATGTTCGGAATAGCCCCAACCCTGAGTTCTCAAATCGCTGACATTTATGTAATATGACGAAATTCGTTGTAGCGGGGAACTGCAGTAAGTAATGCATGTAAAGCGGTTGTTAAGTTAATTACTTGCGCAATCACGAGACCTAGTACGTTACGATAAATGACGTCACAGGCTGTCCGGATCACTCTGAAATCCCCTCCTCAAATGTCCTGTTGTTTTTGAATTAGTCTACCAACGAATGATATTTATACTGGTCTAATATACACCTATCGAGTATTACCGATCTACGTCTCTGGTAATCATTCTGCTGCTGCAGGGGTGCATACTCTGGAATATATGCTTGCTGGGACTTTCGCCACAACTACACCCTGCACGCAATCCGCCCGGACGCTATACTCAATGGCGTGGTACTGTTCTGGTTCAACCAACAGCGAACTGGTTGAGAACCTCTACAGGACCGGTCTTATAAAAAGTGAGAGGGTGAGAGATGCCATGAAAGGCGTGAGCAACCCCCTTCTTTCCCTTCTCACCCACCAACCAAGAAATCTCGTTTTCTTCTCCCTGGAGATCACTATCTCTGCGAGAATCAGCCACGAGATAAAAAACCAACGGTATCCGGATGAGGTGAATCTTATAGTTGGAAGTCTGACAGATAGGTATGCAAGGTTGACCGGGCCCACTATGCGCCGTCAAGGCCGTACTCAGATTCACCGCAGCCAATTGGACACGCCGCGACGATCTCTGCACCGCATATGCACGGCCATGCATGTGAATATCTTATCGACTTTCTCAAGCCCGGCTCGCATGTCTTGGACATCGGCTCCGGTTCAGGCTACTTGACCCATGTCCTTGCCAACCTTGTCACTGATCCATCGGCTGCAAATCAAGCAAACGGCCAAGTTATTGGTATCGACCACATACCAGAGCTTGTCAAATTGGCCTGCGAGAATATGAGCAAGTCAGAGCAGGGCCGTAAGTACCTCAAGTCCGAAAGAGTGAAGTTCATTGCTTCCGATGGGCGGCTGGGATGGTCCCAAGGGGCGCCGTATGACGCCATCCATGTCGGCGCGGCTGCTGAACGGCTACATCCTGTATTGATTGAGCAGCTTCGCACCCCCGGGCGGTTGTTCATCCCCGTGGACATGGGCAGTGACGATGGAGAAGCAGGAAGTCTTGGGCCAAGCGGCGGACAGTACATATGGGTTGTCGACAAGAAGGCAGACGGGTCCGTCAGCAAAGAGAAAATCTTCCAAGTCAGCTATGTTCCCCTGACAGACCGCCCGAAGAAATGATCATGATTAACCTGCCCATATCTCTTGCCATATTTGATTGGATGCACAAGTTCGCACGTCGGGACGAAATCTACTGGAAGTTCGCGACTGGGATGTATGAAAATTACCTTGAATGTATGCCTGGAATTTTCAAAGGAAAAACTATCTCCAGATCACAAGGTGCGAGATATATATGATACAAGGGAAAAACAGCTACGTAATTCCCCGAGAGACAGTGATGGAAGATAGCGAGACGAGTAGGTCCATCGACATCAAATACAACCTTCCGTTGTCAACGAAAAGGGAAGCCACCGCCGGGAAAATTGAAACCCTGCCCGGAGAATTTGAATTGGGGCCCCCCTTGTTGAAAAAAGAATTGTTGACCGCTACCAAACGGCCCGGACTGAAATGGATTACCCCTCTGGGACTCGGGATCATTGGGATCGTCGCCGTTGTCATAGCGTCCTCTTAGTTCAGGATCTGATAAGACTTCGTAGGCCTCATTGATGGCAGCCATCTTCTTCTCAGCCTCCTCCTTGGATACTCCACGAGATATGACCTTGTCGGGATGATGTTGTTTTGTTAGCTGCCGATATGCACGTTTGATGGTACGCTCATCAGCATCACGTGTGACACCCAGAACCTTATAGTAGTCCTTTTGTCTAGAGCGCTTTTGAAGAACGTGAGCTTTCTGTAACAGATCCTGGATTTTCTTAGAATTGGGATGATGCTCCTTGGCGTCATTCAGCACGCTTATTGCATCTTCAAAGCGATCCTCATCGATGGCCACTTGGCCTTTATACAGAAGACCTGCCAAGGACGATGGGTTCAGATCTAGCGCCTGAGAACAATAGGAGGCCGCTAGTTTACGGATCTGTATCTGGGTCAAAAGTGTTAGTGATAAGCCAGACAATTACGGAAAACAGACATTGACGAACCTCCTGGTAGGCCTCGCAGGTTTTCTCAACCAGCGAGGCATAGAGCCGATTGGGAGCGGCTGGGTGGATATATCCAGCTTCCCTTGCCTGCCTTACATCGTTCTGTACATCGACTATTAAACCACTATCGTCACCGACTCCCACCAGCAGATTGACAACATTGTTGAATTTTCTAGAAGTTGCAGCGCTTTCCATCGTCTGAATTCTTTTAAGAAGCTTCTTTTCTCTGCGGTAGAGACGATTGCAGATTTTCGAGTCGGGGTCTGAATGCAGGCATTTGCGAATCTGAAAAATGCCGCGATCAAAGTCACCAAGGGAGTAGAATAGCATCGATGAAATCTGCAAATGGGGTTCTAAGGAGCCGGGAGATATTTGGGAGACATGTGCGAGGTCGCTAAGACCCTCCTCTATCTCCCCCCGCTCAAACCGACAATGAGCTCGGGTTTGTCGAAGGCTCAGAGACATGCTTGCTTTGCTGAGGGCTACGTTCGCGTGGCTAACGCAGGCATCCCAGGAACCAAGCTTTTCTGCCTCTTGTGCAAGCAGCGCAGAGTCGTGCGCTTCCTGAAGCTCGTTGAATTCTGGAGACGAACCCTTACCAGCCTCGCCGAGATCCTCAAAAGCTCCTGCCCAATCGGCAGACTTAGCCCTGAGACGAGATCGCTGCAGAAGGGCGCTCTCAAAACCTGGCTTCAATTGCAGAACGCGATCGAAGTCGGCTAAAGCCTGAGAGTTCTTGCCTAATGAAAGGTAAGCAGCCCCTCTCTGGAAGAGAACCAGGTAGTTCGCAGGGTCTCTTGAGATGGCCGCATCGAAGTACTGCAGAGCGTCCCTGGGCGAGCCACCGGCAAGATGCGTTTTTGCAGATGCGATCAAAGATGAAAGTGGAGTGTCGTGAGATATTGGAGAGGGTTGCCAGCCTTTTACAACCGATAGGAAGGCCAGAAAGACCGCAAGGAGTCCCGGAGAGACAAACATCTTGTAAAAGGAGAGACGCCAATCGATGAGTATAGGACGGTGGAAATGTAGGATGTTATGGAAGTGGTTTCATATTAGTATGCAATATAAGATGTCGTAGACAAGAAGCGGCCAGTGATAGGGAGCAACGCGGGTAAGAATGACCTTTTTGATGGTCGGAGAGCAGGTTACATATTTTCAAGATTGTTGATAACAGCCAGCGCTGACCGTGGTGATTTATTATTGGAGATGTTTGTTGCGGGATGCAGCAAGTCGCAATCTTCCAGTCTGGCCTTTACAACACTGTACTGTACGTACATACAGTAATTTGCGCTTTGTCTTGCCCCGAAGCAACGGCTGGTTACCGTCCGGTTATTGTTTCATGCCGTACAGTATGGTTACAGTCCCTGATTGTGCATATCACGTGACAGCATTACACGTGGAAAATTGGCCGCTGTTCAAGTTTCGAGAGCAACAGACTCTACAATCGCATGTACATGGCACTAGATGTTGTCACCAGTATCGTCTGTTAACTCGGGAAATAGACAATGCTCGGAGTGCCCTGGGTCTGCTCTCGGTGTTTGGTTCGGCCAGCCAGAGCCTCTCTATATCGACGGTCGCTGCTACAACGTCGGACGTACAAAACAGGTCAGTTTGTTCCACGCTTGTGTGGTACTTTCGACGGCCATGGCTCATGCGCAAACGAACAGGATCGGATCTCTCTCCAGCACTCCTCACACACGCACGCACTCTGGCTGTCGAGCATGCTACTCTAAGTACTCAACTAGCTGATTCCTTCGACGCCAAGATCGCAAAAAGGATTGGAGAGCTAGCACAGGTTGCATACACTCTAAAGGAGTGGGATAATGCAAACGAAGCATGTGTTTCTTAGTACCTCACGTCAATCTGCTGGCGCTGACCAATGCACAGTCCATATCCGAGTTACAGTCCTTACTAGATGATCCAAGAACGGAAGCCGAATTGAAGTCTTTGGCTATTGAAGACCTAGAAAGTAGCAAGCTTACATTGCCCAGCATATCAGAGAGTCTTAAAAAAGCGCTCATTCCTCGCCATCCTTTTGCAGAGCTCTCATGCCTGCTCGAGATCCGACCTGGCGCAGGTGGGGATGAAGCGGGCCTGTTTGCTTTCGAGTTGATGAAGATGTATATCGCCTTCTGCTCTCGCCGAGGTTTTCGTTGTACCATCATCAAGAAAGAAGGCGGAGAAGGGTCGGCCGAGGACCGCCTTAGCGAAGCAGTTCTGGAGATAGAAACGGATGGTGCGTACGATACCATGAGAACAGAGTCAGGCGTGCACAGGGTTCAGAGAGTCCCGGCTACGGAAGCCAAGGGCCGTACTCACACTAGTGCTGTGAGTGTAATGGTCCTCCCTAGCTTCCCTGAAACAGGAAGTGGCACCGATGGAGCGCATGGTTTCGATGATCCCAACAGCGACTATTACATTGACCCACAGGAAGTTCGCACGGAGAAGATGCGAGCTAGTGGTGCTGGCGGACAGCATGTGAACAAGACTGAATCTGCGATTCGCTTGACGCATGTACCGACTGGTATCGTAGTCTCGATGCAAGATTCACGGTCCCAGCATTCTAATCGAAAGAAGGCATGGCAAGTTTTGCGTGCGAAATTGGCCGAACAGAGGCGAGAGGCGAGAGAACAGGAACTTGTTGAGCTCAGGAGAGGAGCTATGGGTGGCATTGCCCGAATGGGCCGAGGCGATAAAATCCGCACGTACAATTATGGGCAAAGTCGCTGCACAGACCACCGTAGCGGGCTCACTGTGCACAATCTAGACGACGTCCTAGCTGGTGGGCAGGGGTTAGAGTCCGTAATGGATAGTGTACGGACATGGTTTGGTGATCGCGAAATCGCAGTCATGGCGGCAGAAGCATCGATCAAGCACGAGGTACAGCGACGTGCTTAGCAGGCATGGGTGTATAGATGATGGTGCCAAATATTGCCATAATAATTACGCTGTTAAGCAGGTTTTTACCAAGCCCATTCGACTACAATTCGATCTCAATCGCGCACACACAGCCCGTAATGTTTCTATACACCAACCAGCTTCATAACGACTTAGATATAACGCCTCTCTGGATCAAATGTGTCCAATGCCTCCATCGTCTTCTCGTACCTGTTTTATCATTAGCCGGCTACGCAATTGGATCATATCATGCACGAATCGATAAGAGCACATACATGGTGAATACTATGCCGCCACTCATGATGAGCCTCGCTAGGCGTGGAACGGCTCCCGACCAGAAGGTCAGAATGCCCTCGTCCTTGAAGATGCGTGCTGCGCAGACGAAACTATTCCTATAAGTCTTACTGGCTTCTAGGGATTGCATCCTAACACCGTGTCAGTACGCGTCTCTGAGGAGATGTTTGACTTGAACACAAACCTGGTCTTCACAGTATCAAGGGGTTGCGTAACGTAACTAGATAGGGACGGATTAGCAACTCTTCTGGACAGAGATATCGGCCACATTGACGAGAGTAGGGCCACAGCAGGCTTACACCGTGATAAGGCCGGCTATTCCACCGATGGCAAAAGTGCTCACAGTCCCCAACTTCTCTCCAGGAGCGACCTGGCCTTGGGCCATCTGTTTCAGCATTGTATAACTCGAGAATCGTGTCGCCGAGTTGGCAGCCTGGCGTGCGGTTGTAGGAACGAATCCTTGGAAAAAACCTCGAAGGCCCCTTTCTTGGTAAATGATCTTGCTCCCATGCAGGAACCCACGCATCCGGGGCTTCTGCGACTTTCGATCATCAATTCTAACAGTGCCACAGGGTGTCAGTTCTGTCCGCCTGAACGAGGAGTAGTGACCTAAGCTCATAAAGTAGCTGGCGACCAGGGTCTAACGAACAGTTGTGTTTTAATACTCTCAAATGGTGTCACTGCCAACAATGACTCAGTGAAGCCTGCACCGAAGCCCGCGACAACTGTTCGGGACCCCGAGATCTTGCCGTTCTCGTCTTGCAGGAGTGACTTCAACCAGTCGAAGGCGACGAACCCTACCCACGAAACCAACGCATCAGTCTCAGAATATGCGTCAAAGACTCAGCACCACAAACAGAACCACTCACGGATTCCTGCCTTAAGCGAATTTCCAATGATCAGGGTTGTGCACCCAGCATACCATTGTGAGCCAAATGGTGGCCATGGAAGTTTCTTTGCATCGGGGAGTCTGCGGTTGAGTTGGGTACGGGTCTTTGCAACTGGAGGATTAATTAGCCATTGAGAATAGACCAACCAGGATCTGTCTGTTCCGTACATTCGGCTGGATAAGTGATTGCTAATACTGTTTAGCTTTTTGTAAACGGAGGCCAAGTGAGCATAGCGAGGTATTACCGATCTCGACGGCACCGGCGGTTGAGCCCGCGATAATCGATCGCAAACTACTGGGCTGCGTCCACAGTTTAGAAGTAACATTCTCATGAGCATTCCTCTTCAGACTAAACAGACCTTCGGCCGGTGATCTTTTTCGACGGTGGCCATTGGCGAATGTGTTTCACCAGGTGCAATCCTAAAGATCTATCGTGTCAAGGTGTATTTGTCGGGACTTGAGTCAGAACTCAACTATGGCGGACTATAGTTAAGGTCTAACTCACTAGTTCCCCGGTAACCTTATTAGTACGGGATTCCGCAAGGGCAGAACGCGCAGGACTCTTGCGTCTGCCGAAATGCCGAATTTCGCTCTACAATATTACTCATTTAGATGACGTCCACCTAGGGAATTGAATTGACATTTGACTAGATACTGCACATCTCTTGACAGTCAGTAGCATCTAGTATACCCCAGGCTACTTTTTTTCCGTCCTTTTCTCTTTTCTCGCTTTTTTTTGCTCTCTTTTCCTTTTTGGTATCTTCCTCGTCTTTCGATTGTTCTTGCCTTTCAATTTCCACAAGACACTCGTTCCACCTTCTCTGCCTTCTTCAATAGCCTTCAGCTCCCCCAACATTCATTCCGCTTGATTTCCTCGCTCCTCACCTTCCTCTTTCCTCTTTCCTCTTTTCCTCCTGCCTCGCTCTTCCGGCCCCTTTGCCTTTTTCCTCCCTCACCGGGGTTTTTTTGGTCCGCCTCTCCCCGATCTTATTTCATTTTCTGTCTGAATGTTCCCACGATTTCAGTGTTAGAGTTTATCAATGTCAACGACGAGCACAAGGACGGTCACGAGATATACTGGCAAACGACGTGACCCAAAGCGAGTGTAAAGAGACGAAAATGCATAAAGAGTCGTGAAGACTTCGCCGTTAGCGCCAGGGATGCAAATGCCGGTGTTGTAGCCATACTCATGCTGTGCCGAGAGGAAAATATAGCCCAGTGCCGTGGCGTATGGCGAGCCTGGCAAATGAGCTCAGGATATGATGGTGAAAACCGGCATAGCTGGGGGTAAACCCAATCGCCTCGTTTCTGTATGTTAGCCGAAGTTCGCCAGAAACGCCAAAAACATATACCTTGCAACGTGTCCGCGAACGCCTTGATCATTTCACCTGATCCCAATGCAGTCCCAGAGAAAGATATATGTACAAGCGATCAGAGCAATGGCAAGAGCCTGACTCATCATCAAAAGGTGAGTAAGGGACAGGTAATGACCGGAAACAAATACACACTGAAAGAAACCGAGCAGATTAGGTATGATACAGACATAGATGTTCCTGCATCTTCGAATCCGAGGTGCAAAAACTATCATGTAGGAGACAAAATTCACAGCAAAACAAGACACCAGGAAGGTGCCACAGTGTTGGGCCTATAAGTTCATGTAGCCAACAATCATCGCAAAATGAGCAGACCACAACCAATAATGAGAGAGAACAGAAATAGAAAGGGCATGGCAAGAGTGAAAAGCACAAAAGGCAAAGGAGCTCAGAAAGGGAAGACGTGGGCGTAGCACTCATTAATGCGGTAGCTGGTCGTTTACGACACTGGTGTAGTGTGAGTCTTGCCACCTGTCTGACCTTGAGAGGCGCTAAATTGCTTCGCATCGTTATGAATGCTGCGACGTTGGCCCTGGCCCCGGCCTCCGCGGTATGAGCCTCGGCCCCGATGGAACTGATAATGCCCGCCATTCGCATGGTGAGTAGGACGACGATCTGCGGCAGTTGCATTTGTGACTGTGGTATTGATATTAGGTTGTGATGGGTTCGCGATAGGGCGTGGGATTGTGTCAGGTGAATCGTAAACATAGAGCTTTTTGTCGATGTTCTGAGGAATGGGCTGGATTTCCGTCCCCAGTTCCTGTTCAATTTTATACAAGTTGAAACGGTCATCCCAGTTGATAAGATTGATAGCAAGTCCGAGATGTCCGAAGCGACCTGACCGACCAATCCGATGAAGATAGGTTTCAGCATTCTTAGGAAAGTCAAAGTTGATGACGACATTGACAGCTTGAATGTCAATGCCGCGGGTCAAGAGGTCGGAGCAGACGAGATTACGGCAAACGCCGTTGCGAAAGTCGTGGAATACTCGGTTTCGATGTTGTTGAAGCATCCTTGCGTGTGAATAGAAGCAGGAATACCCCAGCTCAGTGATCTTCTTTGCAAGTAACTCAACCCGGTTGGTGGAATTACAGAAGATGATTGATTGATTGATCTGTAATTTGGAAAACAGGGTGTTCAAACAATGGACTTTCTGTTTCTCCTCCACAAATGCATAGTACTGCGTGATTCCTCTTAGGGTGAGCTCGTCCATGAGGTTAATCTCATAAGGGTTGCGCATGTGTTTATCCTAATATATGTCAAGGGCCATTTTTTGGGATAGATAGATCTCATGATAAACCTACCTTGAAGGATTTCACAATCAGTGGGAAAGTGGCACTGAAGAGCATCACTTGACGATCCTTGGGATGAAATGACAACAGCTGTTCAATGACTGGGGTGAATTCAGGCGATAGCAATTTGTCGGCCTCATCCATGACGAATGTCGGGCATTCAGAAAGATCAGCGACACCTTTGCTCGCCAAGTCCAACACTCGTCCAGGCGTTCCGACAAGAATATGGACGGCGTCATTCAAGCGGATGATGTCATCCATCAATCCTGTCCCGCCTGTAGTAACCATAACGTTGATGCCAAGATGTTTCCCCAGAGTTTTACAGACGTGAGAAGTCTGAAGAGCCAATTCCCTTGTGGGAACCAGAATGAGAGCCTGCGTTTTGGTGCTTTTGGGGTTAATGCGTTCTAAGGTTGGGATGACGAAAGCCGCTGTTTTCCCCGTGCCGTTTTTGGCTCGCGCTAGGATATCTCGGCCGGTGAGGGCGACAGGTATCGTTTCTTCTTGGATAGGTGATGGTTTCTCGAATCCAGCTTCGAAGATTCCCATCATGAGTTCACGTTTGATGTAGAAATCTTCGAATTCAAGGCCTTTCGTAGCAGTAACATCCTGGGCGCAAGTCAGATGGCGACGAGCCCGGGCTAGTCTTCGAGTAACAAACCTCAGTCTGTGGTCTCGCATCCTTGGCGGGGACATTTAATTGTTCCTTCCACTTCGCATCCGAGCTGGTATCCCTGGCAGAATGTAGACATGGTCAATTCAAGCTTCATTGATAGGGAGGCGAATACAGTACCCTAAGGTAGTGCTTTTCATTTGTGAGGCTAGTGCGTCGGCCATATTGCTTAGTTGTTCGAAGATGATTGTGATTGGTATGATCACGTTTCTTTCTCGGTATAGAGGTGGCCTAGGAATGCCGGATGGTGATCGAGTGTGCTCAAAGCTTCGAAGTAGATGATTTGATTTTGGAAACTATCGCGTGAAACAGGCTCGCTCCGGTGCCGATAGACGAGGGCGTTGTATCGTTCGAAGCCAGGGAGACTGCGTTTAATGGGTCTGCCGGAAGGAGGGAAACGACACAGGAACTGATAGCGATGAGATTTTGTTGCGGTGAGTCAAAGGTGTGATAAGCTCTAGGAAAGGATTTCAACAGGCGAGTCGAATGTATCGCTGCGGTAGCGTAAGTTGAGTTGAGGTGATAATTCGGAATCGGGGATGTCTTAGCAATTCCAATGAATTGTTGGGTTGAACTGGAAAGGGCCTGGAGACGAAGTCACTGCTCTTCGTGTGGGCCGGTTTGGGCGTAGTCCAAAAACGGGCCGAGCCTCACAACGCGGTGGGAGGAGGTATGGTATGTACTTTTACAACGACTCAGGACGTAAGCACTTACCCAAGCAAAGCCGGAACGAATGCCCCTTAGTTCTAAAGGATCTGGGCTGAATTTGAAGGGCTACAACTGCTCAATAATGAGATGCATGAAGAACTAGGTATGACTTCGATAAATGGCAGTCAAGTTCAGGAATTCCGTCTAGCCTATGGTTACCTGGCGAATTACAGTATTACGTATCGGGATTTCACATTGCTCAAGACAATATTGCCACTGGGCATTCGAATAACCTGTGGTTTCAAATGCTCGCCCACCTTTTTTTCTACCTCATTGTAATGACATTCACAGAGAATAGGAAGGAGGTACTAATGATAACGAAGAATTACAGGAGCTCATAAAGGCCCCATAACATCTACAGAGTAATTGACCTTGTACTGTATGTCTAGAAAGCCAGCCTTGTCTGCCCCCGTTCGGGTTCTGCCAATCTATATGAGCCCAGTAAGCTGCTGTCGGTCAACTTTTGCAATGAGGTAAAGACTTACTCCTTCACGCGAACATCTGGCGCCAAGCTTATCTCCGCCCTGGATCCGGGCGTAATGAGTATAAACTGCCGACCGATTGACCGCCTTGCCGCGAGCATCTGTGTTCACGGTTAGCAAGCTTCGCAGGAAGTCGCATGAAAGACAATCATACTAGCATGTCAATCGCCATTTTTCTGTTGATATGATCCATGTACACATCACTACAAGATCAACGTAGTTAGTATCCGATTGCACGGTGGAGATTGAAGACACATACAACTCGTCCAAGCATCGAATCGGGGATCCCATAGCCTCCCACAATGCCAGAAGCAGGCATACCTGGGAGAAAGACTTCTCACCGCCAGAAAGGGTCTTTGCACCACGGCCCACACTGTCTTTCGTTATGTCAGGCTCGACCTGTGGAGGATGATTATCAGGATAGATCGGCCACGAAACGAGTTGAAATCACATACTTGTAGATCCAGTAGTTTTCCCTCGTGATCTGTCAAAAGTCGACCTCGAAAGCTCCTTTCGCTGAGTAGATAGGTGAATTGTGCCTTGGCGCGTGAGGAGATATGCGACCTGAAAATCCGCCAGCGTTTCTTGCGATGGTCGAGAGTTGTTTTAAGTACCTAAGCAGACGTGTTTAGCCAGGCCCTTCGGATATTGGTATGATCGTCTTACTTCGGCCAGTGTTTGAAACTCATCGACTTGTTTCAGCGCCTGTTCGTAGGCTTCCTTTGCCCTGGAGGCCTGAGCAGCGAGTCCCTCGCGGGTTGCCCCCAATCTAGGAAGTCTTCAGCAACTGAGTTCAAGACCATGGGCTTCCATACTTACTCCTGGTTATATCGCCTAAGATCCGTATGAAGCCTATCGAGCTTCTTATCTAGGCTGGCGGCGGTTTCACCCTCAGCTATTGCAACCCGCGGTGAAACCAAGCTCGCTTTCTCGCTGAAGTCGAGGATACGTGCAGCTATCTCTTCCAGCCTCTGCTGAATTCGAGTTCTACCTTTTTTGCTGTCACTGATTCGCTCAATTACTGCGTTCTTCTCGCGGATTGATCTTCGGCGGTTTTCCATGCTCATTTGTGCTTCGTTTTGAGCCAACCTGAGCTCTTCATTCATTGTATAAACCTCTGCTTCTTTGGCCGAAAGCTCGTGTTTGATCGCTTTCAGTCCCTCCATCATGGCATCCATAGCTTCAATACCATCCTGTAGGGACCCTTCGTTCAAGCGTTTCTCTTCTTCTGCTTCTTCCAGGGTAGTCTGAAGTACATCAATGCGTCCGTCTTCCACAGATTCTTTATCGAGTGCCTCGGTGATCTCATCAATAAGGTCTTCTGCTTTCTGCACTGCGATACGTAGTTCGCTGCTTCTCCTGTCATGTCTCACGCGTGCTTGTTTGCAGCCTTCGAGACTAGAGCGAGCGGATCGAAGAGACTGCTCTTGATCACTGAGATTTCTACGCAAGTCTGCGAGTACGTCTTTCTGCATGCTATTTGAATGTCAGTAGCTAGACAATTCACCGAAAGCGGAGTTGTGATTACCTAATCTGATACGCAAGGTCGGATTTCATCCGGGGACTCCCATTGTAGGCTGGGACAGGCGCCTGGCTTGGTTCACCATTTCTGCTATAAGAAAGGTGAAATCCTCGTCGCCGATTAGTGGGGTCGATGCAATAACACCTTTTCACATTGCGGGGTTTCTGTCCATCGAAAAGTACCGACGACGCCTCTTCTAGGTCCTCTATCAGCAGCATCTGTTCGATTCCGTGATTTATGATTAGCTGTCGACGGACTAATTCATTGTCAATCTAGAAAGCCCAGAGTTAGAACAAATCTCTCAAATTAACATGTTTCAGTTAGTTTTCACTTGCTTGAAGTACCCGCAGGGCTGTGTCATAGGTGGGATCTGGTTCGTGGTTTGACGTATCAAGATGACCATCGCTTCCTATGAAAATCGGGCATACACTTTCGCTGCTGTCAAAAACCAAAGGCCATGCGATGAGTTTCGAATTGCTCACCAATTGACTCTCTGCATGATATTCGACAAGATGTTCATGTCGCTTTTCGAGGTCACAACAAAGCTGCTCAGAGTCGTACCGAGCGAATTCTCCAGAATAGAGGACCATTTTGGCTTCAGCAAACTGACATAGTGCCCAATTGGGCCCACGGGGCGTCTGCGGAAGGACCCTTCTTGTTCAATGGCCTTGGTAAGCGCTGGCATTCTTTCGTGGAAGCCAGAATTTCTCGCCCCGCCCTCTCTGCTCAAGTTTTGTAGAACCGACTGTGCTTGCTCAATGTCGGCTTTAACCTTATTGACAGGGGCAGCGGCTAATTTCACTTCCTTTTCAGCTTCACCTATCATCTCATACAAGCGGTTTCTCTCGGCTTCATGCTCCTTGAATCGAGCACGGGCATCTTCCGCGCCGGCTTTTGCCTGCTCGAGTTCCTCTTGTTTTCTGATAAAGCTTCCCCCACTTATATCACTCAAGCGCTGGTGCTCATCCGCAAGCTTCTTCCGACTTTCAGCTATTCTAGTCTCCGCAGCCCTTAAATACTCTCTGATCTGGCGTTGCTGGGCCTGCGTGCATGCGTTAGAAATCTCAACACTGAACAGCACGTGTAAGGTGGCCTTACCTGTAGACCATGACGTTCACTTAATTGAGCGTCCATTTTATGTTTGATCTCATCCCTACTTGATTGACAAGTCTCAAGCTTGGAGGTAGCCTGCTGGACAAATTCGGCCGCAAGTTCGGTTTCTCTCTCTGCTTCCTGTATGCGACGTTCATAGCTCCCGAGATCCGCTTCAGCAGCAGCTATATCCTCATCGGCTGTCGTCATCTCTGTTTTCAAAGAATCCTGGATCTGCTCATGTTTAGATTATGCAGCATAGGGGCTTCGGCTTCGTGAGCGTGCTTACCCGCTCTTGTTCCTCCACTTGAGCCCAAGCCATTTGATTGCGAAGATTTCGAATGCGATTACGCAGAGATTCATGCTGGTCAGATAAATCTAATTTCCGCTTTGCTGCATCCTGACGACTTTTCAGAATTGTGATATCTTGCACTCTGCTTTTTAGCTTCGCCTCGATCTGATCTCCAGACTCTTCAATTAGACGGTAGTCCTGGTCAAGTTGTTCCAATTGAACACCCTTCACGAAAAATTTGTACTTATCACTGGGGCTAGACGAGCTAAGGAATTGACGAGCCATATCCTGCGAAAGAACGTTCATCGGGTTGTCAAACTGCAGGGTAAAGTAGTCAATAATAGAATCAAGCTCCGCTTTTTTAGTAGAGACGATACGCCCACTATCAGACTTGATCTTGAACCCACTGGTGCCCATCTTGGAGAAGTGGCGCTCGATAATGATTGATTTTCCATAATCATCTGGCATGTAAGCGCCATCACCCTGATTCTTGATCCGCACTACAATGGTTGCGCTCCTGAGGAAGTTCAGAATTGGATGCATATAAGGGACTCGAAACCTACTCTTTGCCTTCCTTGATGAAACTCTTCAGACTTTGCCCACGGTTTGTGGCCGAAGCTTTGCCACCCAAACATAGAGTGATAGCCGTGAGGACTGCACTCTTGCCAGAACCATTTTTTCCAACAACAAAATTTATCAGCGGACCGAGCTCGATGTAAAAATGGTCATGACACATGAAATTGTAGCACTCGACGCGCTCCAGAATGCCATGCTCGGCAGGCACGTTCGGCTCATCACCAGCGAATGAATACTTCTCCTGGATCACTTGTGTAGCACGAAGCTCAAGTTCATCCTCATCATCGTCGGGCGGTTCCGATATGTATGGAGATGTTGTGTCTTGGATGTCATCGTCGTTGACTTCATCGGATCCGGAAGAGTTAGCTCCGCGCATGCGTTTTCGCTGGTTAAATCAGTCATATGCCTTTATCACGACGGATATATTCAACGTACCGATGGGGGTGCGTCTGATTGCCTCTCCTCATTTGGGTCCACAGAGAACGCCTGGGGGCGCTTACTTGACGGCATTGAGTACACTTGAATGATCTGACTTGGGCATGAGAAACTTGGTATGGTTTGGTATGAGAAGTACTCGACCACTGGAGTGCGCAGGGACCCCCTCTTATTAAAGGAGAAGTGGCCTGGTTTGGTGAGAATGGTTGGTGATGCAAAGTACAAAGAAGTCGAAAAGCTAGCGCCGATGCTCTTTCTTTCTTTTCTTTCGAAGTGTGGAATTAATTACAGTAGTAGTACATTTCCTTTGTTTCGTGTTCTAAGGCTTGTCGGCCGCTGATAAGGCGCGCGGTCGCGTGGCGCGCTTCTCGGTAATGGCCAATATCCCCGCTCAGTGAAAGGACATACATAAATAGCCCAGCTACCTGACTGCCAAGCACACGATTGATTGTCTACTGGTCGAGAAAAGCCGTCAAACGTCGTAAGGCTTTGCCAGATTTTAACCTACTATGAAAGTGCCCACCAAGTAATGTGAGGTGGGAGAATTACAACATGACTTGCCTAGAGGAGCAAAAGCTACTGTGCAGATGAAACATCAATGCACGCGATGCACGCTATTTAGATCGTCTAGGGTACGGAGTAAGTTAGCTAGTATTTTAATGATACGTCTCAGCTGTACCCACTTCTAAGGACACGCTTGGGGAGTCCAGTTTTATGACGTTAATCTCTGTGTCTATGGCTCAATATGCGACTTGAAACCTTTCAGGCATCAAGATTATGGGGTTACGGTACAGTGGTACACGATAATCAGAAGTGAGATCACCCTCAGGTGAGGGTTTGATTGAGAAGTACGAGGCTATGTTTTGCTGGCAGAAGGGAAGAGCTTGACTGAAGTAAGGAACATATGTATTCCCCTGAATGGCTCAAAGGTCCCAACAGACTGAAGCAGTTGAGTTAAGTCTTGAGGCTGAGATGCGATCGGGCGGTGCATATGACTAGTGGTTCATGGGTTCCTCTGCAACGTAGTGCAGATAAGCCCCCAGCAACTTGGTCCCTTCAATATAGTTTCTCTTGTCAAGCTTCTCGTTCACGGAATGGGCAGCATCAGTTGAACTGCCCATTGGGAGAAGCAAAACGTTCTTCCCGGTAGCTTGCTCAAAACTTAATGTGACCGGGATACTGTCAATGAATTAGCTTTGAGAAGATCAGAAGCAGCCTTGATATAAGCATTTTCCATACCTGCCGCCTTCGCGGGTCATGTCGGGCTCGACACCAAAGACCTGTTGAACAGCCTTGCTTGCAGCGGTGAAATTCCAGTGCTTCGGACTGGCCACCCACCATTTCCCGTCATGTTGGAGCCAAACGTCTAGCTTGTTCTTGCTGTTGAGTTTGGCGAACTCTGACTTGATATGATCAAACACAAGTTTGTTCACATCCTCGCTTTCCATGTTTGGCACTGTTCTGATAGAGAACTTGCCAATTACCTTGGCTGGAATCACAGTCTTAGCCCCGGGAGCGGAATAAGCACCCTCGATGCCATGGATAGACAAAGAAGGGTATCGCCACCTAGCCATGAGAGTTTCTTCCTTGGTAGGATGAATGCCTGTCTCGCTGCCCAAAGACTCATGAAGGTTCTCCATGGTGTAACTGATGTTAGGATACAAGGACTTCTCGTCCTCCGACATGGGTTCGACCAGATCCATGATGCCAGGGATTAAGATTTTTCCCTTAGGATCGACAAGTTTGGAGAGAACATTGACCAGGTCTGTCATCGGCTCATGGGCAGAGCCTCCGAATACTCCGCTGTGTAGATCCTGAGCAGGGCCTGAAACACTCACGGAGTAGTAATTACAACCGCGAAGACCATAAGTCAGGCAAGGCTTCTCTGTTCCCAGCCAGTAGTTGTCCGAGATACAAACGGCATCTGCGTCCTTGAAGAATTTCTTACTTTCGGTTTGAATGAACTCCTCCAGGCCTTCCGAGCCGTATTCTTCCATGCCTTCGAAGCAGCAAAGGAGATTGACCGGGAAATCCACACCCGCCTTTTTGTGAGCCTCGATCACGTTCAACCATCCCAAGACTGGTCCTTTGTCGTCAGTGCTTCCACGTCCAAACATTCTTCCCTGATCATCGACAGTCAACTCAAACGGTTCTGTCGCCCAGCCGTCTTCTTTCAAGGCAGGCTGAACGTCATAATGACCGTAGACGAGAATAGTGCGCTTATTCTTGTCGTTACCATACCGAGCGACTACAACTGGAGGTAGATCAAGGTGCTCCTTGCCGGGCTGCTTGCCTAGCGGGCGTTGTTCCACTTCAGCACCCAAAGCTTCGAGTTCGGAGGCGAGGAACTGAGCCATCTGATGTGAACCCACGTGTGTTTTAGCTGCGGTCCTCTTGAGGTAGGGTGGAACCTGCAGAAAGTACCTTGAAGACATCTTTTCTGTTCTCATCCTGCGCAGAGATCGATGGAATGGCAACAGCCTTTCGTAGCCCTTGCTATTCGGTCAATACACATCATATGGGCAGGCGATGGAGAACATAGGCCCATACTATCAATGAAGGAACCGGATAGGTCGTCGACCCTGTATGAATGAGGCATTAGACCTGGTCAAAACCGGTCATTTATGTGAATTACAGCAGGAGGCGACACACGTCACATGGTATGTGGTGATGACCGATGAAGCAGGAGTGACGAAAACGTTTCAAGATGGTGAAGCACGATAGAAGGAGGGGCAGGCTGGGGGCAAGGGAAGTTGGGCTCACTGTTTGAAAAACGGCTCAAGTTGCGGTGCCATCTTTGAATCGCTGATATGTCCGTAGAATGCGTGACGAGAAGATAAGCGGCGTACGGTGGAATCAAAAATTGTGTGAGATGTCAAATTGCCCTTGATGTGGAACGGAAGTGACAAGAAGGGTCTGTACTCCCTAAGCGACGTTGCAATTCGACGGAGGGGGAGGGGCATTTCGGCCGTGGACGAAGACTAGTAGGATTATTATTATTAACAATTACCACCTTAGGGACAGGCAGTAAAAGCAAGTACCAGGTCAGGAAGCCTAGAGTTTCCGCGAATAAGCGGCTACCCGGCTAGGCGAGACTCAACTGGTATCAACATGTGTCTAAAATACCTTTTGTAGATCATGATGCCTTCATCAAATACTTGCTTGGCTTCAGCTAAAGTAATTCCAGGGATCATCTAAATGATACATAAATAACGGTTTATGGCAAATACATAATTATACAGCGATCAATGGCTTCTAATAGAACATATATTGAAACAACGGGCAACAATTTAAAGGACTTAGTAAGCCCTGAGTAAAAGGGGTAGAGCATTTAAGAGGTTCGGCATACATATCCCAGAACAGGAGAGCATGCAGGCACAAACAGTTTTGAAAGATTGTCGTCAACAGTCTCTTCCCCACGATTCCTTCCGCAATGTCCGGTCCTCTCTAGCCATGCGGCGCTTGGTGCCCCATCTTGACTGCACCGCCTCCAAGACTTGCTTCTGCATTTCTTTCTTTTCCCGACTGGCTCCGCACACCATCGAGATGAAGAGTGGTGAGCAATCAAAACGCTTGGCCAACTTCGAGCGACTCCACGTCATCGGGTCACTGGTTCTTAGCCTGCGTATTTCTAGTACATCAGAGGGTTTCAAGTGATATCGCTTTGGATCAGGCGATTTGTTCAAAGATGCAAGCTCGGCAGGGTTCTGCTGGCTGATTGAAGTATCACTAAGTAAAGATCTCCGGATGTCGTCGCTAGGAAGAAATTTCGCTGGTGTGTGGTAAACCGATGGGGAGCTTGAAGGAGGGTTATAGACGATGTGATCTCTTTTGACCTGACCCAACGACGACCCAAATGAAGCATCGGGCTTCAAACGTAGGCGTTGCTTTGTACGTCTATAAGAGGACTGGCTCCGCCGAGACGTGAGAGGCATGAGTTCGCATGACGAAGGTAGAAGGAAGGGCAGTGAGAGGAAAGGCCTCTTGACTGCAAGAGTGCTAGCCATTATTAGGTCGATTTGCTGGAACACGCTCCGTGAAAGTAACAAGATACAATCAACTCTGGATTGCGTGAGGAGCGAGGCGAAGATTGCTTTTCGATAAATCTAAGGTGAAGGCGAAATTATTAGCGCATGTGTTGTGTTGTTAGCTTCAGCAGAAGCACACCCGGGATAATTATGCATGGTGCACACACTGATGAAGATATAGCTAGATCATGATTAGAGATGTATGTAGCGGAAGTCTGAGTCGCAGTGGTATGAGTCGCAGTGATATTTACAGATGTGAATAGAAGGTTGAGCTTTTCTGGGCCGCAAGTCCCGTGATAAGCTTAATAATAAGACACTGCATTGAGCATGTGCATAATATTGGGTACTCCGCGGGCAACCTCCCAGACCAACTTATATGCCTCAGGCCTTACAGAATTACGAACCATGATTGGCTGAGATTATGTGCGCACATGAAGGGATTAGATTGGCTACTCAGGTCATAGGTCACGTGAGCTGCGCTTTACAGAATGGCAGAAGGGCGGGCATGGCCCCCCAGCTGCATATTCAGACTATAGGTCTGAATCAATAATTATATAGTGTATAGAAGCAAAGTAGTAGAGGGTGCTTAGCAAGGTACTTAGAAAGGTGCTTAAACAGCCGTACCTTAACCTATAAACAGGCCCTTAAATAGTTGCGTACCTTATCCATGCCCTTGAGCAGGTGCGTAAGCAAGGCTGTATAGACAGGCCCTCGTATGTATTCAGCCTGTATAGGATACCGAGTAGTATACTTCGTAAATGAGCTCGCTATTAATCTGTATAATCACATATCAGCAGCTAGGCTAGGTTGTAAGACCCAACACGTAAGACCCAAGTATCTATTGCTATAGTGGAAGTGCTTCATGATTGGTTCCTGCGAAGGAAACAAGGGTCATGTCGGTAGGGTAGCCTAATTGTGACTTGTGAAAGATCCCTTTAAGGCTTTGTACAGCACATGATTTATAGTATCCTTCGCTGATGAGATCGCTTTCTTCCATCTGTAGGACTGCATAAGATACACCATAGAAGGGCTGCATATCTGAAGGCAGGTCTCCATAATGCGCCTCATATATGGTCACGAACTAACAATGACTTAGGTAGTCCTAATAAATGACTGAAGCTTGAGGCGGGCTAGCGATCTTTGGAACCTGGAATCCCTGGCATCAAGATAATGCAGTAAAATCATTCCCATGGTATATCATGCTCCGACCTCAGACACTGCTTTCAGAGCCCGTTCTATCCGATCACGCAGGTCTGCCTCCTCTTCCAGGCCGACACTTATTCTGACTAGACCAAATTCGATACCAAAAGAATGCGCCTGACACTGTTAGTAATCCACAAATAGATGAAGCGAAGGATACGAAGTCGTGGAGTAAATTGTAGAGTTTTACTCACCCAATCTAATTCGCCATAGTGGGCCAACAAAGTATATGGACAGCTTCAGTACACAGTCAGATGGGTTTCGCTGCTTGAGATCTTGATCGGAGCTTCAACCAACCTCAATGTAAAATTCGTTCCAAGACTCGGGCCCTTATGCACTTCGAGTTGATCGAAGAAAGCGATTGCTTCCTCAGTTGAATGGAAAGTGACAGAGAAGAGCCCGCCATACCCCCCATTCTGGGTGCGGAATGCGTCATAGAGAGGTTTGGAAGGGTTGAGTTTTGGATAGTAAACATGTTTGACTATATCAATTAGAACGAGATGGACTTCCGCTGGGTCATTCTGAACGATTGGAGATGCATCGCACTGGAGTGAGGGTTAGGCCTGACTTACCCAGTGGCGACTCCAATAACATGTCTGCAATTATTTCTGTGGTTTTATTGATTTTCTCAATTCGAGACGCAAAATCGCGACTGTTCCGCTCTAGGAACACGGCGTCTTCGGCCCAGACATTGTCCTCATATTCATGAGCAAAAGTCTCTCTCAAAGAATGGTAAAAACATCCATGAGGATTGAGAACTGCGCTTCCTCCCATAACATTGCTATCTCCACTGAATATCTTGGTCAAACTGCTAACCACGATATCTGCAGAAGGGAGAACATTGATATTCAGGAAGTTCCCCACGGTCTCGTCTACCACGACCGCAAAGTCATACTTATCAGCGAGTTGGCGGATTCTTCTCAGGTCCGGAGACTTCAGTAAAGGATTGCCTGGAAACTCTGTAAACAAAGCCAGAAATCGCTCACCGGCTTGCAGCCGTGATTCCAAATCGTCGAGATCCTCCGAAGAACCATTGCCATAGAACAAGCATCCTGGACCCCATTTCTGAAGAATTTTCAGTGAATCAATATAAGGGAACCCGAAACATATGCTTTTCAGTTGGCCTCTGCTGGCCAGCAACATTTGGTGCGTACTGAAGATAGAGCTCATACCCGTTGGGTAAAGGAAAACATCTGCTTCCGTAAGCCCCGCCACACGGCCTTCCCCTGATGTTTCTTGAAGAGCCTCACTCAGATCTACATCAGCGGTCAGAACTCCTGCTATTCTTCGACGTACAGCCGATCGTGCCTGATCAGCAAGCGAGACGTTCAAGTTGCGTCCAAACCTCTCTTCAATGAATTGCACATATTCTTTGCCATCCTGCGCTTCCCCTATGGAGGACAAGTCCCGAGACTGATTGTGGTTCCCATTCGTTCGTGCTGTTCCACTAATGGAATCACGCCCCTGGTATCTCCGAGGGCCCTTACAGATTCTCCGTAACGCTACATCTGCCGCTTGGGATTTTCTCTCGACGAGAAAGCCACTTTTCAGTGCACCCAGACAGAATTCGCCCCGCCGACTCGATATGCCGTTCCCGGTGTGTTGCCACACCTGCTTGGCAATGGGCGCGAATTCCTTCGGATATATCACAGATGATAACAACAATGTTGTGGTGGGAAATCCGGCATCTGTTTCATGGGAGGGACTAAAACTCGTAATCCGGATCCTGCCGTGGTGTTCGACGGGCAATCTCGATTTCATGAAAGAACGACATAATTCTGCGGTGGTTGGGGATGGGAATAACATGGCAGTATCCGAGTTTGGGGAGCCAAAACGACGCACTATCTCAACCGCAAGCTCTTGTATAATTGGATGTATGAAAAACCGCGGATAGCCGCATTGCATGCTGTTTGTCACCCATGACTCCCCCTCCTCATAGGCCACATTTGCACTCCAGGTGGGAAGTGACACACTGACTGCCTGATCAAAGGTGAGTGACCATTCATGAATGACTATATCTTGTACCGATTCGGGAGACAAAATCCCCTGAGAAAGGATAGCGGAGTACGCGGGTCCTGAACTTACATGGTCGGTATTCGGAGGGACTGGGCCTCCGATAATTTGAAGCATTGTGATGATATGATCAGGTGCTGAAATAAAGCTCAAGGGAGACTGAGTGCAGTGAGTATGGAGGGGAGTAAGGAAGCTGCCGGCAAAAATAAATAACTCTTCAATGACGAACGAACACAGTTATAGATAGGAGAAGAAATTCTTAAATGACGACGAATTGGAAGGAGTCATCGCGGCAGTACCAGCCACTGACTCGGAAGCGATGTCGGCGTTGTTGAGGGCGGCTGACCAATGAACTTTAAAGCGCACGAAGTTAGCGGCAAAAGCCTGATTCTACTGCAAGCGGTAACTTCTTACTGCCTTCCGAGCCATATGGTGTCCACTTACGGAGTATATATACTCAATCATTGATATCGCTACAGTCCAATGCATGTCCAGTGCTTGATATGTTAGTCTGGACATATATACAGAACATCTGTAACTTATACATCTGTGCACTCATATGACCCATATAGTAACGCATTCAAGAATAGTCTATCATAATACTGACGGTATCAAATAACTCTTAGTCTATGTACAGTCCATATCCAAATTGTAGGCTTGATCCACAACAGCATGCGGAGTACGGAGTTCAAGTATGCGCATGGCGGAGGCTCAGAACTAGAAGGCGGTGAAAACGCCGCGGTGGCTT